GGGGTATTTCAGTAATTCAGTCGCTAACTAGAAAATACATGCATGCAGAAACCCTCGCCTTGCGGACAAAACCATTGTATTTTCCGAACATGAAGTATCTAAAGTAGTTGTCATGGTAACACGATAATTTTTTAAGAATATTCTTACAAATGAAAAATCGCTTAAAAATATCACCTTTAATTACAAAATTATCAATTCCCCAACATATATATGTTAGGTATGTTATTATATGTAATATCTGCTTCAATTTGGTAATTGAACTGAGTGGAGTGCAATTTGGACTGAAATAAAACGCGTGATTACAAAATCGCACGACCGCGAAGCGGGAGTGCGATTTGTAATCACAAGTTTGATTTCAGTCCAAAATTGCACGGCACGAAGTTCAATTTCCACTTTATTATATTCATTTTGAAATCTTAAATATTTTTGTAAACCGGAAACGTTTTTGTTTGCAAAAGACACACCTCCGGCACCTCCCTGAGTGCTGTAGCATAGTAACAGTAAGTGAACAAGATACTGCAAAAAACGCTGCAAATACTGCAAAAAAATGCCAAAAATCTTAAAGAAATGAAGACATTTATAAAGAATAAGAGACAACACAAGTAAGTTTAAACATATTGCAGGTCTTACGAGTGATTGAAAGAGTTTTGGTGCAGTTTTGTGCGTTTAAAATTGGAAATACGATAAGCGAATTTACCTTTGTTTTCCCGGAGTCCTGTCTGTCCTGACGCTTTAAATTTGCTTTTGTTGGCATTTTTGCCAGTTACTATTTGTGAAATTTCAAAAGAATTAAAATTCTTTGCAATTCTTTGATAGTTTACTGTAGCTATCGATATTTTTTGTTTTTATGTCCAAAAAATTGCTTAGGCACTCAAGAGTATTAAATCGTGACATGTAAATTTTTTGTTTTTGCTCATTTACCATATCACATTTTTCTTAAAATTCATTGGCTGTTTGAATCCTATGATTAAATATGATTGGTTGGCTGAAGTCAGCACTCTAATGTGATTGGTTGAAAGAAGGTGCGATTTCAGCACGAATCGCACTGCTAGGAGTGCGATTCGTGCTGAAATCGCACACCTGTGAACCGATCAGATTGCAGGAAACACCATTGATTTCAAAACGAATATAATAAAAAGGTAAAATTCAACCACAAACGCTTCGCAAAACGTTTTAAAGTGTTCTTTATAAAACTAAACTGCCTTTAATTAATTAAATGGCTTTATCGATAAACTTTGAGTTTGCAATTAAATGATTTATTTAAAAAATTCAATATAATAAAAAAGGGAATCAATATTAAAGATACACTGAAATTATATGCTGTCTTGTTTAGTTGTTTCATATACGCAAAGGCCGTCGGGTTTTAAAGCCATTATAAAATCAATATTTAAGGCAAACTTACCTTCGTTAACGTCGGCTCCCCTCTTTTAGACGATTCTTTCGCCCTTTCTTTCTGAGAAATCTTTTGAAATTTACACAATCTTGGAAAAATGCGAGCAAAAATGAAATATATTTGCAAGAAATTTATCAATCATCAAATCAAGAAATGTTTGCATTTCGCTGTCGTCATGCAGTCGTTATAATGCAAACTTTAAATTGGACCAATCAGTGTCCGCTATTCATGACAGTCCGCCATATTTTTGAGATCAGTGAAGATGACCACCCATCGTTGGGGACCCACGCCCGCGATAATTGATGAACTTTAGACTTCGCTAATGCTTTCGTTTCCCCGGGTGTAAATAGCCGGGCGGGGGTTAGTACCCTCGCACGGCGCTTCGCGCCGTCGGCTCGGGGATTAATCTTTTTTCCCCAAACTTTCTGGCGAGC